GAATACTGGATTGTTTCGTAAAAGAATGCAGTCCACTAACATATAGACGCCTACATATCGTTAAGTCTTCTCTACTTTTATTTAGATAAAGGCAAAATAGAGACAAAAATTTTGTAATAATTCTACATCGAATTAAGATTTAGTTATATAGACTAAATTGGAAACTTAAAATGAAGTGGAGTCTAAAAGAAAGTGGTAATGAAAAATTTAATAATAATCTATAACTCATATTAACACAGTAGGGTGACTACTTAAGGCCAAATTTAACCATAATCTATAACTAAAATGATCACAATATACCTACCATTTAAGATCGAAGTAAGTTTTGTGTTGTCACGCATATTTATCGGTAAAACAGTAAAATTTTCGAGTAAATTGAGGTAAAGTAAATAGATATTTCCTAGGGATTTTTTGCACTGCTCACTTATGTAAATATTTATTTATTGCACTTATTTATTATTTTTGATTAAAAGTTTTCAAATTTATTTATTAAACATCTTATAAAATTTTTACAATGGTTAGGTGTTACCAATTACCTAATTTTTATTTAATTTACCCTATTCGAAATTCTGATAAATACCAACACACGCTGCCATATCGACATAATTTATTATTTCCCTCAATTTACTCGAACGCGCACACGGCCTCAAAGGCGATTGTGATTCTATTTTTTGAAAGACCCAACATATTTTTAAGTAAATTCTATAATCTTCTACTATAATCAATAAAGTAGTAGAATCAATACAGTTCATTACGTTTCATACAAAATCTTAACCTGACATATGTATAGTATATATATAAGTATATAAGGTATAGAGTTCCACTTACCTTTTAATAATATTTTCCTTGACCCATTGATATAAGTTTTTGTAGTAAAAAAATTTCCTTATATTTTGCTGGGATAGCCTTCACTTAGTAATTTAAATTCCAATTAGAAGATTTCTTATTAGCTACATGAGTTTTGTTGTTGTGTTGTTGTTTTGTTGTGCGTAATCTCGCTGCGAGGGACTTGCACTCATAAAAATGCAGGGTCGGTATGTGGTTTGGGCAGGGAATAAATAATTCACATTCACTATTTTTAGATGAAAAATCCAAACCAGTGGATTTTTATTAAAATAAAATGGAATTAAAATAATATTACTAATTAAAATTAATAATAAAACTAATTTTAAAATCTGCGTTTATTTCAAACTTCAAATCGCGAATTCACTTTGTCTGCAAATTTGTTGATTTTGATTTAAATTTGGCAATCAAAACTCGTTTCGCGCATGCAACACGGCAACAATTAATTTTGAAATAAAAAAATTATTAATTTTTACACTTAATAATTTGTAAATCTATTGAATTTACTTTTTATTTTTGCTTTGCACAAATTTTGAATTGTGATTATTTTTAAAAACCAATCAACAAAAACCAGATTCGTTTTTTTTGTTTTTTGATTTGTGTGTTTTGTATTATGAAACCGAGCCAAGCGGCGCTGACGATGACAGTTTACAATAAAAAAAAAAACAGAGAACAATAATTACAGCATCATTCACAAATCACAACTGTTGCACAATTCATCGCCGTAAGAGTCAACAACAACAATAACCGAAATCAGCAATCAGCAAAATTTATTTAAAAACCTTTTTTGATTTATTCAAACTTATTTTATTCAAATCTTTTGTAATTCAAATCGTACGTACATTCACAAACATCAAACAAATATAAAACATTTGACAATTTTGGTACACAAAACACAAATATACACGCTCGACAGTTAAACAAACTCGACGACCGTTCCCTTTAAGCGTCTAATAAGCTATGAGATGAAACAGCGTTGAGAGAACTCCACAAGCAAGCAAGCCAACAGACGGCATGATACCAACACACACATTTTCACACAACACACTGGCAACATCACAACAACAGCACCAACAACAACAAACATGTTCTGTAAAATTACTCATAAACGTGTTTACAACAAAAACAGAAGAACAAACATAGAACAAGTACATTTGTTTGTTGTTCCAAAGGGAGAACCGAAACTTCATATGTTGATAAAGAAATATGTTTCTATGCATACATGAAATGATCAACATGCTGCTTATATTAGCAACATTCATTTTACTACACTGAGAAGTTTTGTGCTAAGTTTTTAGAACACAACAAAATATTGAAAGAAGTTTTTAAAGAATTATTGTAATGTTTCTATTTTTAGTACAATTGAACTTTTAAATACTGATATACATAATACGATGATCATATAAAAATAAAAGATTTTTAGACATGCAATATTATATAAGGCTTTAGTGGAAGGATGGATGGATTTTGCTGCATATTTGTGGAGCTAGGTACAATAGTCTAAACATGGCATAAAAATGTAAAAAGTGTCACTTTTTATTCAAAATCAATACTTGTAAGTAATAATTGTAAGTATTAATATGTATAATGGAAGTAGAAATACCTTAATTCGAGTAATCACTTTATCATCAACTGTAAAATGTAGATATAATTATTATAAAGGTACTTATGCCTTTGTACTGTTGCAAAACGCTGCGATTAGTTTCCACCAACTGGAATTCAACTAGTATTAAAAGAAAGAGTTCTTCCATTTATTATTATTATAATAATTTCCATGGTGGATTATTTACTCTCTTGCTAAGAGTATGTTATATTCTCTTTATATCATGACTTTTGTAGCAACATTCTTCAAGTTAACTTATTACATCTTAACTTGAAACAAACATTACTCTTTTAAAAATGATTCATTGAAATTCTTTATTCTACTTAAAAAATATATACAAGTTTTTTGATATGGGATCTTTTCTTTTTTGAAAATGTCGACAAATAAATAATGAAAATGCTCTTCACCCTTTCTTAAAAACTGCAATAGATTCTAACTTATTTAGTATATATAAATGCTAGATATTATCCTATTTAAATGCCTTTTACACCAATCTTATAAGTATCACCAGCTGTAAAAGTCTTAAAACTTCTTTATGATTTTCCGACAACATGGATGGTCGTACACACGACCGAAAATCGAAGTGCACTTAGAGAAAATGTGATCAATAAAATTTCACCAGGCCATTAAAGCACATTTAACAACAATGTACATAATCTTTATAAATGTAGTGAAGTGGAAATTTCAAAAATCTTACTGTCAAATGTAAAAGTTTGAAGAAATTGAAAAATAATAAAATTTAGTTTCATTAAACAGCAGTTGTGCATGCGTTACTTTAACAAGTATTGTAAAAATCTATAGCCTGTTTGTATTTGCGTTATAAACCACAAGATACACAAGATAACCGATTACTCTTTTCAACAAACACAGTATAAAATGACATCACTAGGCTTGTGACATTCAACAACATTGTTTCGCTAATTATTTGACAGCTGAGGCACATGTGAAGATTTGTTTTGTAGGAATTGAAATTAACAATTGTTGATTGACTTGTTTGTAATTTTATAAGATATTTAACATTTATTAAATAAATAAAATGGATGGAGATGCGCCGCAAGAACCAACGATTGATTTTGTGCCTGCGTTGTGTTTTGTACCGCGCGGTGTAACAAAAGAACGACCAGAAAAAGTTGCTTTATCACGCAATGAACTCGAAAAGATAATAAAGGACGCTAAGGAGCAGTTAGGTGGCGGAGATGGTGACGGCGACAACGATGACAATGACACAGATGACGAGAATAATGCCAATAACATGGATGTAGATGACGTAAGAAACACAAATGAAAACAATGATCCCAACGACGAATTCAATTTCGATAACTACGAGCAGGAAGAGCAGGGTAATTTGGCTAGTATCGCAACCATTGTAAATGCAGATCAACAAATAGCTGATGAAGATAACGATTCTGAAGCTGAAGATGAGATTATAAAGTCAACAGATAATTTAATATTAGTTGGGCATGTACAAGATGACGCTGCCTCGATGGAAGTGTGGGTATTTAATCAAGATGAGGAATCTTTGTATACACATCACGACTTTTTATTACCAAGTTTTCCACTGTGTATCGAATGGATGAATCATGATCCAGGCAGTAGTAGTGCAGGTAATTTGTGTGCAATTGGTTGTATGGACCCTGTTATCACAGTATGGGATTTGGATATACAGGATTCGTTGGAACCTGCATTTAAATTGGGCTCTAAAGGCAGTCGTAAAAAAAACAAACCTCGCATTGGTCACATGGATGCTGTACTAGATTTGTCATGGAATCGCGAATATGAACACATAATTGCCAGTGGTTCAGTTGATAAAACTTTAATACTTTGGGATTTGGATGAAGGCGAGCCACACACAACTATTACAGCATTCAAAAATAAAGTCCAGTCCGTAGAATTTCATGGTACAGAAGCACAAACTCTTTTAACTGGTTGTGCTGATGGATTGGTGCGTATTTTTGACTGTCGTGATCCAGAAATTATCAACACATCGTTCATTAAATGGAAAATCAATGGTGAAGTTGAAAAAGTACTTTGGCATCCAACAGAAACACATAATTTTATAATCGGTACAAACGACGGCAGTTTGCATTACGCGGACAAGCGCAGACCTGATTCATTTCTGTGGTCATTAAAAGCGCACGAGGAGGAAATATCTGGCGTTTGCTTCAATGCGCAAAAACCAAATTTATTGACCACCAGTTCCACAGATGGAGTGCTTAAAGTCTGGAACTTTTCCACGAGTAAAATAGATGAAGTTCATTCACATGATTTTGAAATGGGGCGGCTACAGTGCATGAAGCAGTGCCCAGAAGATCCCTATACGCTGGCGTTAGGCGGTGAAAAACCACCACGTTGCCGCATCTACAATATTAAGAACTTTGAAACGGTGCGCAGAGTATTCGACATTCCAGATGCGATATAACTGACACAACATTTGACAGATGCATTGCAGCACGTTGGCGTTGGCTTATAGTGTATTATTCCTTATATTGCGAAAATATAGTTTAATAAACGTAAATGTCTGTAATGTAAAATTTTGTTTTATTTTCTTATTTTATAATTTAATAAGTTAAACTAATTAATAAAAAGTACTTAAGCTACTGTCTCCTGGGCTTCCGTTTCGTCATTGATAAATTGCACCAGCACAATTTCTTCGCCACGCAGGAGAATCTGACTACAGTGTTTAGTTACTTGTACATTCTTTCTGTTGAGGCTTTTGACTTTCAGTTCCGGCAGTTTTATGCCTAATGCTTTTAGTTCTTTTGTGCAGTCTTTGGATTTACCCATTGTGTTGTTTACGCCGTATTTATATTTTCTACGTTGCCAAACAACGCAAACGTCCACCAGCAACATATTCCAATGTTTATCGAAAAATTTTAAATGTCCTTCAATGTGGCCACGTACGCCATGCTCATTTCTAACTTGCACTTTCACATGTTCCCTGCTCTGCGACAGAGACGTATGTAGACGCTGCAATGGGCCGGTCAGTTTCTCCATGTGCGTATAGATATTTCTTAAGTGACGTTTGTACCTTGTGTCTGTTGATTGTATAGCCATTTGATGTGGTTCGAACCGGCGCTCAATTGATGCAGCTTCAACAACTGCAACTTTAGTAGGTTTGGACTTCTTCTCCGCGATTGTGCGCTGCTGTTTCTTTACCTCTTTTAACATGTTGTCACAACCAAAACGAGTCAAAGCACTTTCATAAGCCGCAAAATTTTGGAAGATGATTTTTGGCTGCTTCTTGGCTACCTGAAATTCTGGTGTATAGAGAGCGAGCTTTGAATCGAAGTGTTCGCCTACACAGTCCAAAGCAGTGCCCGTTCCCTCATGTGATTGCCACTTGACTGTGCCGGCTTTTGTTTTCTTTTCGGTCTCATCTTGATTTAAATTTGTAATTGATTTCGATGTACTGGGTTGGCAATCTTTATCCATATATAAATCGTATATGTTTTATATAATTTATTTCAGCTTAAAAACTGAGGCGATATTATTGTTTATTTGGAATTTTAAGTAAAGTTCAAACAGCGCGCAGCAACTAAAAAATCAGCTGTTCAGAAGTTATGAATAGTGTTGGTAAGCGGTAAAAGTTCATTTTGTATATTCTAATATTTCTTCACTTCAGTATGACCTCTAAAGAATTTTTTACATAATATAAAAACAATATTTTCTTGAACAATCTGGTTTGCCATTTTTATGATATCATTCTGTATCTAAAGTAAAGTCTTAATAGTACATTTAGTGAGAATAACTTGCGATATGTGTTCCTATAGCCTTTATTAAAGTAGTTCATTTGATTTATGCTACTAATGAAGTTAATTAACCTTACCAATTGCTTTTGTGCTTTCCATAGTAAAGTTATAAATCTATAAAGTTAGTTAATAATAAATCAAGGGAAATTACGCCGAAAATGTCAAATTCACTATTGCAAAATATGACATATTTGACACAGATACCGACAGATAAAAGCTACTTCACTTGTAAAAATCAACTTATGTCAATGAAAACAACCGAATCTTGATCTGATTAATATAAATTTATTTAGTTGCAGTGGGAACATGATATTACTGTGATAAAATCACATTGATTGTATAATATAAACACGTTAAAAAACCGCTCAATATCCACAACTGAACAGCAAATTGTAGAATCTCTTTTTTTCCAATGAGTACTGGGCATCTAAACCCAGGCTAGAATTTAGGGAAAATATCTTTAAGGAATTGAATAAAAAAGTGTTGTAGTATCAGCCTTGAGGGACAGAGTTCTATATGTGGTAATCCAAATTCAACAAAATC